TCCTGGCTGTGGCCCTGTGGCTAGGTCCCCTCACCCTGGAAGGAAGGGTTCGATAAAGATCTTTGCAGACCCTCCAGCAGGTTTGTCTAACTCTGAAAAAAAAATAGAACTTGCAGGATTTTTTTTTTAAAGAAACAAACAACACCCTTAATGCCATTCATAAACACTGTCCTGACACCAGCCCCTGATTTCCATGGCCCTTACTCTCCTGTCCCTTTAAACAGTGACCTGCTTAGGTGACAGAAGATGGTGAAAGTTCACCCCTCTACGAGATGTGTAGAGATCTGTGTAGGTGGTTTTATTTGATTTCCAGTACCCAAGGAGACCTCAAGCAAATCTTCATTGGTATCATTGTCAGCTCACAAACAGTGCTGATTGCTCTGCAAGGCATGCGGATCGCGTGTGTTCAGAGGTGGCCTTTGGCCACATGCCGTTATCACAAACAGACGGAACTTGCTACAAGCAATCAAAGGTGGTTGAAGGAAGTGAAGGAGCGAGCTTCAGAGAGCGTGCTCTTCAGAATTCCCCTATTCTAGTGATAGAAATGTCCTTTCTGTCACTTCGCCTTTTATTGCTTTAGATGATATTCCCCAGAGGGCGTGAAGGAGAAGAGGGAATGAAGGGCAGAGTGAGCCATAGAGAGCGAACAGGAACTGATCTGGGAGTATTTTAAGACCTTACCTATGACCTGCAGTTGCCGAAGGAAGCAAGGCACAGCTCAGATAGTCTGGTCCTAGATCTGCCCTCTGCTACGTAAAGCATACCTGGCTTGCAGTCTGTGTTCCTTGGTGTCAGCCGGTCTTTTCTCATCTTCTGTCAAACCAGCCTCCTCCCTGCCCCTCCTAGCCTTCCCTTTCAACACTTAGGGAATGAGAACCATGTTGGGGTCTAATCCATTGTATCACCAGTGCGTGTTGCACAGGAATTAATCAGCTCCCTTCTCTGCTTAACATTACACATTTACACAACCACTACCCTCCCAGTATGAAACAGACCAATGTTAGCAATGTTAGATTAGACATTCTTTTTGTGAAAGGCTTGTTTTTTGTTTTGTTTGTTTGTTTTTTCCTGCTGGTTGCAACCAGGAAGAATTTCTTTCCAGTCTAAGAGACTTCATCTACGCTCAGCCTTATAAAGTCCTTAAGCTTTTTATCTCCTTAGATTGTCCAAAGGTGAAGACAAGTATCCTTTTTGACGGTATCCTTTACAAAGCAGCGATCCATTAAAAGAAGAGAAAACAACTCCCGGGATCCAAGAATCTCCAGGTAGGAAGGATGAACCCAAGTTTTACTTTCTTCACTCGTTTTAGAATGTTCTTTTCTCTGCTACTTCACTTCAGAAACGATAGATAATTACTGTTTCTATGAGTCATATTCATAGCCCAGCACTTGCTAGAAAAGCAAAAAAATATTTTCCCCATGTCACATGACGGGGTGACGTTCATTGTCTTCACACAGTTGCTGGTGTTCACTCATTTGCCAAAATGACTGTACCTGAGGCTCTAAAAGCCAGGGTGATCATGAAGAACAATGACTTAAAGACGTTTCCAGAGACCAGCACACAAAGACGGCAGCGTGAACTTAATAACTCGGGTTTCACGCCTTATAAATTGTCAGAGGTTAATAAAGGCGATTCTGCTCTCCAGCCCAACAGAGCAACAGATGCGGTTGTTCTGAGTGTTTCCTTCAAATGCAGTCACTTCAGTGTTGGGCCCGAAGTTCAGTCTGGTCTGGGCTGATCAAGGAATGTCGATTTGTCAGTATCCCCGGCCTAAGCTTCAAAGGAAAGTTCACGTCATGATACAATAATCTTCAGCGTATGAAAGGGCAGGGGTGTGATGATAAAGCTTCTTGCCTAATTGCTATATAAAGTGACAAAGATCAAAATATTATCTATCTACAGATGACGAATGAATGCTTGATCTCCAAGCCAAACAAAGATAGATCAATCTTCTCAACGAATTCGGTGGCTGTTATAATTTTAAAAAACGACGACGGGGGGGGGGGGCACTCCATCATGCCGCAGGGCTCACTTGAAGGATATTTTATTGGGAGAAGGGAATGAGAAAGGGGGGATGGGCCTCTGGAGACAGGCATGGCAGAAGAGAGGAAAGAGAGGCAGGGGTAGGCAGGGTGGCTTTATGAGGGGACGTAGTTGTAGAGAAGTAGCTGAAGTCGTCATCAGGACCCTGAGCAGGTCAGGGTACTGCCTGAGTATTGGTAAGCGCACCCTGCCAGGTGACTGGCCAGCATAATGCCTGAATGCTAACAGCTGCACCTACAGTGTAACTTCGGAGTGTGTTTCTGTATAAGACCAATCTCCCTTAAATGGGAAATAGAGGTGTCACAGTTCTGCAGGGACAGCCACACTGATGTACCCAGTCCAGTTTACTGGTTCCATTCCCAGGCCTTGGTGTGGTCTTTAAAGGAAAAAGAAAGGGACAATTCATGCCCTTGGCCATGGTGCTGGGAGCTGACACTACCCTTGAAGCCTGGAGTGCAATCCTATTGAGAATTGGTAATCATAGCCTACCCCTCACTGGTTTTTGGTATGTTTCTATAATAGCCTTTATCTGAAAAATCAAGAGAATTTTAATTAAAATCTTCCACAAATATTTGTATAATCAGCTGAGTGAATGCAAATCTTTTCTGGAAAAAATACAATCTCAGTCAGGCTCTCCTATCAATAAAAATCCAAGAGCACAAACTGACATTTAAACATTCCGAAGTTGGCCATGGTGGTGGTGCATGTCTTTACTTCCAACCCTAGGGAGGCAGAGGCAGGCAGATCTCTGAATTTGAGGCCAGCCTGGTCTACAGAGCGAGTTTCAGAGCAGCCAGGGCTACCCAGAGAAAACCTGTCTTGAAAAACAAATCCAAACAACAAAAGCTCATCCCCTCTTCCTCTCCATAGAGTAAAGCATCAGGAGAGACTCCATAGAAACAGGTGGCAAAGCCACACTAGAGAGACGTCAAACACAGCATCCAAAAGAAGCAAGTTGGGATGTTTTTCCTTTGAGAGACTTGGGCTAGTGCATCTGTGACAGGTCTGGTCTTGGACTCACTGTGTAGTCAAGGGTGACCTTGAACTTGTGATCCTCCTGCCTCTACATCCTGAGTCCTTAGAGGTGTGTGATAGCACACCAGTTTACACCCATATCAAAGCCAGGCCTCTGTGCATAGGGGGCCAGCAGAGCACCAACTGAACTACAGCTCCAGCCAAGGTCTGCCGTGTCTTAAAGAAAAGTTTGTGGGCAAAGAAAAAAAGAAGAACTCTTGTCTGTCGTCAAAACTGCTGACTAAAAACTGGACAAAAGCCTGGCATGGTGATGCCTGCCTCTAGTTCAGCTGCTCCAAGGCTGATCCAGGAGGATGGTTTGAAACCAGATTTTGAAGGCTAGATTAGATATGGTAAGACTTTGTATCCAAAAGCCAAATCAAGACTAAAACCAAAAGCAGACTAATTGAAAGACAGTTCAGAGAGCACAAGAGTTGCTGGCTTAGCAGCAAATTTCTGAAGCCAGATGCAGGAACGTCCGCAATACAGAAAACCGTGGGCAGAAAATTTAAATGGGTGAAGGATTGACGATACGAACAGTGAGTAAATCCAAACAAATACTGATGGCATATAGCAGTAACAGTATTTTCTATCAATAATTTATGGCATTAAAACTAGTATAAAATTCGAATGCTTGTCAAGTATGATATGAAGCAGATGGAGATGAACATGATAGCGAAGTTGCTCTAAGTCTCTAGCACTGTGCAGGGAGCACATTAGAACGTTGAGGGTAGCTCCTAAGAAACGTGAATAGAAAGAACTGCGTTTAGGGGACAGAGAGATGGCTCAGTGGCTAAGATCTATGGCCGCTCTCACAAAGGACTGCCGTTCAGTTTCAGGACCTCCACTGGGTGGATCAACCACCCATAATTCTAGTTCCAAGGGATCTGGTGCCCTCTTCTCGCCTCTGTGGGCACCAGCACACACATGTACTCTCTCTCTCTCTCTCTCTCTCTCTCTCTTTCTCTCTCTCATACACACACACACACACACACACACACACAAATAATAAATCTTTAAAAAATCACTTTTAAAAGAGTAGGGTCTGCTGGGAGGTGAGGGAGGAGAGACAATAATAATATTCAAAGATGGCGAGAGAAAATCTAGAGAAGCAGGATGCACCTGATAAGTCAAAGAAATAACAAAGAGATTTGACACTGTAACACAACCATGGCATTTATGCACCCTGAACTCATGGGTGCTGATTTCCTACTTCAGGAGTATGAAACATGAACAATTACAGTGAATGAGCTTTGAGTATAAAAGACTGTATTCTGTGACAATGCCTTGAAGGCTGTATGTTTACAATTTTCAAGAGCACTCACGACCACTACATTTAGAGCGTGCCTTTATTTTTGTACATTGTGACTTTGATTTCATCTAAAGAGGTTTGCTGTTATTTTGTTGTTTTGCTCCTTCTGAGTAACTGTAATATTCTTTTCCTTTGTATTTTGGGGGACCTTATTTTCTTTTGAGGGATGGTGATGGTTATATCCCTTGTCATTTTTCATTACTCATTTTTTCCTTTTTCCTTCCTTCCTTCCTTCCTTCCTTCCTTCCTTCCTTCCTTCCTTCCTT